AGGCTAGCTTGCCAACTTAGTGAGACCGCATCTCACAATGTAGTTTAAAAAGGGCTGGGAATGTTGCTTTAGCATGCAGGAGTCCTTGGGTTCAATCCCCAGTACTGCAGAAAAATAAATAAATAAATAAAAAATAAAAACAACAACCCCAAACCTCCAAAACTCAGCCAGATGTGCCTCAATATGTTTTCTACAGCCCAAGTTTTGTTTCTTTTTCTTTTCTTTTTTTTTTTTTAGTGCTGGGGATTGAACCTAAGACTTGTGCATGCTAGGCAAATGCTATACTACTGAACAATACCTCTAAACCCACACACATTTTTTGTTTGCAGTTTTTGCTTCTTTGCTTCTACAGTGATGGAAATATTGTATTTTTGCACTGTTCAACATAGTAGCCCCTGCTCATATATAGCTATTGAGGGGCTTGCAGTGTGGCTAATGTGATCTAGGAACTGAATATTTAATTTAATTTTTGTTAATTTATATTTTAAAGAGCCACATTTAGCTAGTAGCTTCTGTATTGCATGGTCCAATTCTAAATGTTAAAAATGTTATTGTAGATCAAAAAATTACTTGATTATACTATAATTTCACACTTTTCCTACATGCTTTTTCTCTTTATTGGGTTTTCTCATGTATTTATTTTATCTTATTATATGTGTATTTGTAATAGCCTCATGTTTTGTGGAGTTATGAGATATAAAAGCACAAATAACTATTCATGAATTGGTTTTAGGATGAACATGTGGAAAGGGAGGCAATACCTGCAGAGAAAGTTCAGTTCAGTTGAGATAGTATATACCAAGCACTGCTGGATATAGGTCTGTGGTCTGTGTCAAATACTATGGGAGGTACAGAATGGAAAACCCTTTACAAATATTACTTAATGTGTGTCATCCCCTTCCTATCCCCAGATGGTAAGTTCCGTGAGGGCAGGGGGAGTATTTTCATTTGGGATGATATTTCTTTCTTCCCTGGTGTCATAAACCTTGCAGAACACCGGCTATGGGTCTGGGAGTTTATTCCCAGTCCTTCCCACCTGCTCTTCAGTATATAGGATTCTGTCAAGGGTCTGTTTTTGGTACCTCTGCCTGACCTGAAGGAGCTGGGTGTCTGGAAGGAAGAAGTACCACTTAGCCCATTTGTCTCCAGGTAAGAGAGAGTAGAGTGCTATCTCCCAATAGCCTCCAGGCACAGTTGGGAACTGGTTGTGCAGATCTGACTGCTTACTGGTGACTGATTATTCTTTAGCCTGAGAAAGCAGGAATGTGACAGGTGGAGGTGGTAAAAGGCCTGTCAAGGCACCTGTTATGATTGATGCTAATCTCAGAGGCATCCCTGACAGGGCTCTCTCTTTACCATTTTCCATAGCTTTTGGAGTGCTAGGAAGTAGGGAAGAGACTGGCAGTTGGTGGTGCTGCTGATGGTTGTGCGTATGAGAGAGAGAGAGAGAGAGAGAGAGAGAGAGAGAGAGAGCGCACCAGACTGTGTAGATTTCACCATTTTTTTCTATTGATGTCTTCTTTTCTGTTCCAGGCAGGATCCAATCCAGGCACCCCATTGTGAATAATGTTGCAATGAACATGAGTGTTCAGATATCTCTTTGACATACGGATTTAGAATCTTTTGTGTACATGTTAGTTGTCATGTTTCTCCTGTCTCCTCTGGTCTGTGACCATTTCTTAGTCTTTCTTTGTTTTGTGGGGTTTTTTTTTGTGTGTGTGTGTGTTAGTGTTTGAACCTAGGGTCTCATATGTATTAAGTATGTGCTGTACCCAACCTCATTTCCTTGTTTTTTTTTTTTAATGACCTTAATAGTCTTGAGGAGTCCTGGCCAGGGTATCCTGTAAAATGTCCTCAGATTTGGGTTTGACTGGTATTTTTTCTCATGGTTACAATGGAGTGGTACCTCAGAGGTGAGTTGCCCTTCTCATTATGTCATATTGGGATAGATGAGACCTGCAGGACATGCCTGTGATGGTAACCTTCATCATTTGGTCATATTGTATTTGCCAGCTATCTCCACTGTGAATTTACTTTTTCCCTCTTTTATGCTCTACTCTTTGCAAGCAAGTCACTAAATTTAGCTAACAGTAAAGAAGATAAGGGGAGTATCTATATATGTTAAATGGAACCTCTGTAAGGAAGATTTTGGGTGGGGATATTAAGATGAAACACATCATAGATTAATATCATCCTTTTTGACTGTTTGCTAGGTTTCTACTTGTGGTGACTACCATTCTGTTCATCCTGCCTTTTCTTTTTGTTTACCATTAGTCTTATTTCAAAAATTTACTCCATGTGGATTATGGAACTAAATGCAACCTCCAGAATAAAAATGTGCCTACATGGGGAAAATTCAGGAAATCAAAAAATAAGATAGGATTCAATATAAGGACTTATAATTAGCACTTTATGTTACATTTAGCTCTGAACTTTTATTTTTTGGAACTAGGGATTGAACCCAGCACTTAACCACTGAACCACATCCCCAGCCTCTGCTCCCCACTCCCTTTTTTTTTCATTTTTATAATTTTGAGACAGAGTCACATTAAGTTGCTGAGACTGGCTTTGAAAATTACTATCCTCCTGCCTCAGCCTCCCAAGCCTCTGGGATTATAGGCGTGTGTCACTGTGCCTGAGTGGTCAGAAGATAAAGACAAACCAATTCTTCAGGAGAAGCATAACTTTTCCTCTTATTAATATCTGAGGAAAATATGCAGCTTCATTAAAGGCAGATTGTGTATGATGTAGAACAGGGATCAGGCAACTATGGGGCAAATTTGGCCCACCATCTTGCTTTTGTAAATAAAGTTTTATTGGAATGGAGCCGTGCCCATTAATTTACATATCATCTGTGACTGCTTTGGTGCTTGTGTAAAGTTGAATAGTTGTATGAGAGACCAGGTGGCCCTCAAAACCTAGTATGTTTACTATCTGGTCCTTTATAGAAAATGTTTGCCAACTTACGATTTAGAGAATAACTCTTTAACCACATCTCTACCAGAATAAAGAATCATGTACATTTGTTGCAGTATCCCTCAGTTTAGGCTGGTAGAGCAATTCTTAGGATGCACTAGAGGGGCCCAAAAGGGCCTATGAGCCAGTATTATTATGTGCATTAGAGTTAGTTCTAGTCTCCCTCAGTTAGCTTGTTATAATTTAATTTTGGTATTGTGCCTATTCCTAAGCCTTATTGGTTATGGGCTGATGGTGGCTGATAATTGCAGGATGCTTATTTTTGTACTGCTCTAGGTGTTTATGGTACCAGCAAAGACTATGTGTTTTATTTGGTTTTCTTTTAAATCATTCACTGCTGTAGAAGAGCCCAGTGATTCTTTCAGAACCAGGGACAGTTTTACCCCCCAAGGGACATTTGGTAATATCTAGAGATATTTCTATCATATCTAGGAGATGGGAAAAGATGGATGAGGTATTTCTGACATGCTGCTCAAGATCTACAGTGTATAGACAGCACTCCCCGCCCCCAGTCTTATTTGATTCCAAACGACAATAGTGCTGAGATTGAGATTGAGAAGCCCTTTATTAGGAAGAGCGATATTTATATCATCTAACAAAATATGCAGCTGGGCACAGTGGTGCACTCTTGTAATCCCAGGGAGGCTGAGAAAGGAGGACCACAAGTTGGAGGCCAGACTTAGCAATTTAGCAAGACCATTTCAAAATAACAAATAGAAAGAGCTGGTGATGTAGCTCCATTCTGGAAGTAGTACCCAAGAATCACAAATTAAGAACCTTATACTTTTCCAGAGTGCCCTGTAAGGCTTATTTATTACATTTGCTATGGGATGCAACCTTTGATGAATGTTGTAGGGATTCTAGGTGAGCAGGGCATAGATATGTGCTGTAGGACCTTTAAAGGAGGTGAGATAGGTATAATGTTACTGTGTGAAGCAAAACCTGGCAGCTATCAGGAGAGATTCATAGAGGTGGAGTGCTTCAGCCTGGGGTGGAATGAATCATGAAATAATTTACTAAGGGCTCAGCATTTAAAATGGCCTTTCAAGATGATGGGCTTTTAGCTAGTGGTTGTGGAGAGAGGAATCTCAGGGCAACAGAACACACATACAGGATTATATAAGCAGATTCTGATTTGGCTGGAAATGTAGATGTCAGGTGGTATGGCAAGGTCACAGGTCAGGCAAATGTACAGAACCCTCAATTGCCTAGGAGTTGGTTCTCAATGGTATAGCTCATAGAGAGATACAAAATTTTAGAGTAATAAAATAATGAGGTAGATTCTGTTCTTACAGAAGATTCAAATGAAAGTGGCTTCCAGTTAAGAGTTTTCAGGGGAAAGGCTGAAATTATGGAGCTAGTTAAGAGACTGGTCCAGCCCTCCTTGATCAGAGGAAGGGTGAGCCTGATTTAGAAGTGCATGCGAATCTCTAAAGGGAAGAAGGGAGCTGTCAGATGCCTTTTAGGTTTGAACCTGGGCAATCAGAAGGCTGAGTGTATTGCTATAGATACAGGAAAGGACTGGGGTGGAATGGGGGAGTCATAGTAGATGGAGAGGTTCACCCAGTTGTCTTTAAATGTTTTTTCTTCCCCTTCTCCAAGTGTTATAAGGAATGATTCTGACTTCTCTTCTGTCTATATGGAGGGAGGGGTTTCTTTAGTGTAAATCTTGTCTGAGTTGGGTGCTGAAGTAATTTCTTTGGTTCTGAGGATTTGGAGAGTGGGAATTTCCATTTGCTGTAGCAGAAGGCAGGGCACACAGCACTAGGTGTGGTCTCTAGACTGCTTTCACTCTTCTATCAGGTCCCTGTGGGGACTGGGAGTGAGAGGAATGGAAGACCATGTATGTAAGTAGCTTTAATGATTGCATAGGTGGTGGTGGTAGTTATTGATTTTATTTTTGTGTATATGTATGTGTGCATGTATGTATATAAATGCTTATTGAATGAATCAGCCAGCTTATTTACTAAGTTTCCCTGTTGATTTTTTGTGGATTCCAGTATTAATTTTTAAATCTTCTATAGGTATCTCTGGAACAAACTGTCATTCCGGTGTTGGATAACACCAGTTTGGGGGTAAGCACAGGTCAATCTGTGGACAGAGGCAACAGCCAGACCTTTGGGAACGCTCAGAACATAGGAGAACAGGCCTTTCCATCTGCAAACTCTAGTGACAGCAGGTGAGATTCGGAACGGCCGAACTTGTTCTCGTGGGATGAGGACAGTCTAACCTTATCCTTAAGGACTATGGAGGATGGGATTCTAAAGCTTTGGGCCAAGATCTTTTTTTTTTTTTTTTTGGTGGTCGTGGTGGCAGTGGGGGTGTCGGGAATCATACTCACTTTATGCATGGCAGGTGTACTCTCTACCACTGAACTACAGATTCAGCCAGGGCCAGGTTCTGACTGTCACAAATCAAATGAGATGCTCATAAGTCATTGCTTACCCATACCTGTGTGATGGGGCTAATGATCTATGCCCTGCCTTTCTCACAGGATAGTTCCCTCAGAGACATAGAAATGTGTCAGACATTATGCAAGAGTACAGGGCTTGAGAAAGGGGGTCTAGACAAATCTCTTGGTCACCACTACCCTGGTGGCATGATACTGTGCGTGAGATAACATGTAGTCAGTAAGAAAATGAATGAACAATAAGTGAGTCACTCATTGTGGCCAAACATGGCTGTTTTTTTCCTATTCCTGAGTATCCAGAAGAATAAGAAGAAGCTTTCTGTATCTTATTTGCTTGAGCAAGTACCCCTGCTTTAAAAAAAAATGAATTATTTATGTATGTATGTATGTTTGTGTATTTGCAATGCTTGGGATTGATCCCAGTGCATCCTGCATGCTAGGTGAACACTCTACCACTGAGTTACATCCCCAGCCCTTTTAATTTTGTGATAGGGTTTGCTAAGTTGTCATTTGGAGTCCTCCTGCTTCAAGCCTTCTTGACTAGCTGGTATTACAGGCATGTGCCAATGTACCTTGCTTAAAATATTTTAAAAAATTAATCAATGTATGATAAGTTTACATATTTATGGGGTAATGTGCCCTGGATTTTAATGCTGTTTTCAATTTTTGATAAATTTCTTATTTCCTTCCCAGCTATGTTTGTTTTGTAATAATTCTGCCCAAGCTGTTCTTGTTGCCTCACTATACTGACTGTGTGGTCTTTGAATTAATGATCTAAGAAAATTTGACTTTTACACCCCTTTCCCTAATAGCAGAAGGTTCTCTGTAGTGTTTATTTGGCTGGCTCCTGCCAGCAGTCACTGTTTCCTTAACGTCATAAATTCTGTGCTGGTTTCACCTCTGCCTCATCCACTGCACTACTTTCATTCTGGCCAGTAGAGGCGATGATCAGTTCAGTCCTGGACTTCTTTACTCTCTGTCTTCTCCCAGGCCCATATCCCTGGCAAAACCAGGCTGGCTTTTTGACTGTGTCCATGGGCGAGATTGGAAGAGCTGCCCAGTGCACAGGGAATACCTCCATCTACCTCATTGTGTATGAGGGTAGAGTGGCAGGTTTGCTTCTGCTTTTAGAAGAAAAGAGGAATTAGGGATGTTTACATTGGAGGTGAGAAGACCAAAAATGACACAGCAGGCAGAATCAGGACTAATGATTGAAAATTACAGATAACAGATTCCATTTCATGTAAGGAAGTCATTAGCAATGGGTACTGCTGCATGGAGGAGCTTAGTCCTCTGCCTTTGAAGGTGTTCTTGCAGGGAGGACAACTACTTGTTCAGATTCTTGGACTCTTCAGGATCAGAAGAAAATTCTGAAGTTTTTTTAAAAGACTTTTTTCTAAACCTGAGATTTTGGAATGCTACAGTAAGTCTTAAACTTTCCAAATTGGCAAGCAGAGGAGTATGGAACAGAGGAAAAAGAGAGGTTTAAGAAACTTGAATAAGCATCCACCTAAGTCCTAGACATGACCCATTTTGCTATGATTGGAAACTGTTCAGTTGCTGAGTATGAAGCATGTTTTCAGGAACTGTCATACTATTAGGGAGAGCATGGATAGCAGGTTATAGAAACTGGATGTTGTTTCTTTTTTAAAAAATAACTTTATTTTATTTATTTTTATGTGGTGCTAAGGATCAAACCCAGTGCCTCAAACAAGCCAGGTGAACATTGTACACTAAGCCCCAGCCCCAGCTGTGGCAGCAGGTTATAGAAAGAATCTGGATTTTGGAATATGATTGACCTGGATTCAGATCCAGACTCTGGGGCTTCTCAGCTCTTTGACTTTTACCAGTTCCTGCAACCAATCTAAGTTTCAAAGTGTTGAAGTTATCATTATTTTGTTTAGTATTGTTTTCCATATTGGGGCTTCACATATATCAGTCCTGTATTCAGTAATATACATATATTAGCCTCACAGCTACCCTGAAAGGCAGGAATAGTATTATTGCTGTTTTTCAGATTAGGAAACTAAAGTCAAGAAAAGCCAGAAGTCCTATAGCTGGGATGATACTGGGATTCTGGTTAGAATAGAGCATAGACCCCATGCTCTGACCATAACTACCTAGCACTGTGGTCAGGATGAGATAAAGTGACATGTAAAAGGCTTTTTGGACAAAACTAGACCAGTCCAAGGAGATTTCTTGGAAATGGTTGGGCTTGAAACATATTATTAAATGGGGAGATATTTATTAATACATAAGACCACTTTGAATTCCTTTTATTTATTTATTTTTTTAGTGAGTATAGTCAGGAAGTAGGAAAACCTCTATGAGATATCCCCAGGATACTGCTGTTCAGAATTTGCTTGAATGCCTTCCATTGTCAAGATTGCCCTAGTTTTCAGCACTTTAAAAAGTAGACCATGTTTCTAATATTTGTGCTTTTGCTCATGTGTGTGCCCTCTTGCTTTGTTATGCTCTGTGTTACAGTTCTCAGCAGCAGGCAGCAAGCTCCTTGACATCATCTTCCACCCTGGCAGAGATCCTGGAAGCCATGAAGCACCCCTCGTAAGTGGCTCATCATATATGTGGTGCGGGGGCAGGAGGTTCCTGAAGGCCTATGCCATGGCAATGCTCAGGCATTGTAGTTGGGTGGATTTATACCTGAATCTTCTGCTTAACAGCTTTGAGACCATGGGCAAGTTACTTGACTTCTGAGCTTACGTATAAGTGGAGTTTCAAAAAGAGTGGTTAAGCACATTGTTGGAAGGATTAAATGGAATAGTTATGTGACATAGTGTAATGCCTGATAAGTAAGATGTTCTCTAAATGTCACTTCCCTTCTTCCCCTTTATCTTTTTCTCCACAACACCTTTTGTTGTCTTGTTGGGATTTCTCTCGGTCTAGGAATTACATAAAGAAATTGATTTATGGGGGTTCTCATTTCATATAGTAAATGCTTTTTCTGACTTCTCATCTTCTCTTTCTGCTTGTTGCCACTGGACACACATACATGCTGACTGCATTGGAACCCAGGACAGGAGTTCAGTTGCTCTCTGAACAGAAGGGTCTCTCGCCATGCTGCTTTATCAGTGCTGAGGTAGTGCACTGGCTGATGAACAATGTGGATGGGGTCCAGACGCAGGCAATGGCCATTGACATCATGCAGGTAAAATAGCAAGACAGGTCTTATAGAACTGTCTGTTCAGTCCCATCGGCAGGTTGGGTGAAAATCTGTTTTTAGTAAGTGTAAGGCATATATGGAGTTGATGAAAGGACAGGTTTTGCTTTGAAATATACTTTTTATCTCAACTTAAAAATCTGGCAATTATTTATTAATTTAACTGAAACATTCAGAGAGGAATCTGCATTTTTGAATCTAGTAATCTCTGTGAAAGATTTTTGGAGAATATTCTTCTCCTGACCTCAAGCCCACAGTTTACCCTTGTTAATTCCTACTTATTGAAGATCTGAGCCTGAATTCAAGGCTCTCTTTCAGGGGCTTCTAGTGCCCTGTACTACTTTGTCAGAGCACTTAGCAAGCCAGAGTGAAGAATCTATATAATCTCCTGCCCAGAGAGTGTGCCACCTCTTAGTGTCCATTTGTATATCATTGGTGCCTTGTATTTTGCTTGGTACATGGTAGGCACTTAGCAGACGCTTGCTGAATTTAATTATGCTGTTCAGAACTAGAACCAAACATGAGAGGAGAGAATTGGATAAGGTTGAGTGACTGAGTTGGTTCATACCATCCTGTCCATATAGAGGTCCCTACTAGAAATTGGTGGTTTGTTAAGCAACTGGATTGTCAATAAATGATTTGAATTAGCATGTGATCCTCAGCTCTTCCTTTGAGGGTCTCAATGTGCTATTTTTCATAGTCTTTCCCTAAAAACTTTATATACTTCCATCACTCTGAGAATACTATTTCTTTGTTCATATAATGAATGCTTCTGACATTTATCCATGTTGATACATATACTTCTAGTTCATTTCAGTTAAAACAAAATGAACTAGAAGTATATGTATCAACATGGATAAATGTCAGAAGCATGATGTTGATGAAAACTAATTTATAAAATGATACAGTATTATATCCTTTATTTAAAATTTCAGCTGGGTGCAGTGGTGCACGCCTATAATCCCATCTACTCAGGAGGCGAGAGGTTCATAAGTTCAAGGCCAGTTTGGGCAGCTTAGTGAAACCTTATCTCAAAATACAGTTAAAAAAAAAAAAAAGGATTGGGGATGTAGCTCAGTGGTAGAGTAGCCCAGGTTTAATCGACAGTAACATAATCAATCAATCAATCAATCAATCAGTGAAATTAAAAAATAAAATAAAATCCCACAAGAACACCTGTCATGTCAATACATATCCATGTAATAGCATTTTAAAAAACTTGCTTGAGAATATTGCTCTTATCATTTATTTCTGAGGAAAGAGTGGTCCATAGGTTTTTGTTTTTTTTTTTAAAGTGAAAAGAACTGAAGTCAGTACAGTAATGCTCCTTCACCCCCTTATCCCAGTTTCACTTTCCAAGGTTTCGGTTAACTGTGGTCAGTTGTGGTCAAAAAATATAAGTGAAAAATTCCAGAAACAAATAATTTGAGTTTTATTATAGTAAATTGTTATAATTGTTCTGTTTTATCATTATTGTTAATCACTTACTGTGCCTAATTTATATGTTAAACTTTGTCATAGATATGTATAGGAAAAAATTATATGGTTGTCCTCTAGTATCTGTGGATTGTTTCTAGGACCCCTATGGGTACCAAAATCTGTAGATGCTCAATCTTTGTATATCTTCTCATATATTTAAATCCTCTGTGGATTACTTATGATACCTAATACAATGCAAATATTTGTGCTGTATTGTTTAGGGAATAATGACAAGAAAAAGTTCATACATGATCATAAAGATGGAACTTTTTTTTCAAATATTTTTGATCCAAAGTAGGTTGAATCCACAGATTCAGAGAGCTGATTGAATATCTAGGGTTCAGTATTACCTGTCTTTTCAAGCATCCTTTGGAGGGGGTCTTAGAACATATCCCTCTCAGAAAAAGTGGGGCTACTGCATAGCAAAATGTTAAATTTGATGGAGCTGAATGGTGGTCTACATGGATTTTTTTCTATGTTTTTCTGTACGTTTGAAATATTTGATGATATACATGTAATGATATGACTTATACCAGGATAATATTTAGCACAGTACAATCTTTATGTCTAGTGGGTAGTTTGAAGATAGGGTCTCCTTAGTGCTCCTATTACTCCCTTGACTCTAGTGCACAACTGGGGACTATTCACTCTGAGAAGTCCCTTTGCAGGAACTTCAGAGTTTCATTGTCTCTCCTAGAAAATGCTGGAAGAACAGCTCATCATGCATGCATCTGGTGAAGCCTGGCGGACCTTCATCTACGGTTTCTATTTCTACAAGATAGTAATGGACAAAGAGCCCGACCGAGGTCAGAAGCAAGGCAAATGCAGTGGCCCACAGGAGTGGGTGTTTTTCTGGTGACCTACTGTTTCACTTGACAGCTTCTTGAGCTCCATGTGTGACTTTATATTCTAAGTTGACTTTTGAGCATTTGTATTTAAGCATAACCAGAGAGAAAAGTTTCTTAAGCTATAGTATGTTCTTGTTGAGGACAATGTAGGTGGAAGATAAACCTAAAAGAGGCCAAAGGACCTGGTATGAGAATTCTCATAGCATTTTTTGGTAGTTGATTTTAAATATAGCACCCTACCTCTCCACTCCCACCTGGTGCAGGTGGTTTTGATGATGACATAATGGTCTCCAATCTGTGATTTATAGCACTTTTTACTTCCTGGATTTCCAGGCTCCATATATTCTCCCAGGAAGTCTGTCAAGTCCTTACAAGTTTTTCAGGATATGTTTTAAGTATAGTCATCCTTTGGTATTAGAGTGATATTGGTTCCAGGACCCATTTTCTCCAGGATACAAACATCTGTGGATGCTTAAGTCTTTTATATCAATGCATAGTATTTGCATATAATGTGTCTATATCCTCCTATACACTTTAAATCATCTTTAGATGACTTATAATACTTAATACAATGTAATTGCTATATTATACTATATTATCTAAGAATAATGAAAAGAAAAATGTCTGTGTAGGTTTAGTATAGAAGCAGTTTTTTTTTCTGAATATTTTGAATATGTGATTGATTAAGTCTGTGGGTGCAGAACTCATGCATCCAGGAAGCAGATTTGTTTATTTATTTTTGTTTATTTATTTACTTTTTATGATGCTGGGGATGAACCTATGTTCTTATGCATGCTAGGCAAGTACTCTACGACTGATCCACACCCCCAGCCTTTAAAAAAAAAAACAAAAAACAAAACATATACAAGGAAAAATAATCCCCAGAGAGAAGCAGTTTCTCATGTGGCCATGGTGAGAGCTGACTTGTTTAGTTCTGGAGGCACCCAGGACTCAGACCAGCCTCTCTTGTACATGCAGCACATGTGTGGACCTTGGCTGGAAGTGACTCCCATCCTGCAGACAGATAGTTTCTCCACCTTTAGGTCTAAAAATCATACATGAATTGATGCAGCTGGTGACACTCACTGTGCTATTTTGTCCAAGGATGTGACAGAAGTGGGAACTTTTCCCTTGTAGCCACTAGTATGTCCATTGTCACTTTTTTCCTTATAAATAATTATTTTTAAGTAAATAAGTAAACACTTATTTTTTGCCTTCAAATTGAAGGGGAGGGGGTTTACCAGTATATGCTCTGAAATTATGGGTATAAAATTGAATATAAATTACTTGTTCCAATGAAGTTCATATAACATATAATTAACCATTTTAAGGGCATTTAGTACTTGTGCAACCACCACCTCTGACTAGTCCCAGACTATTTTCATTACTGTCTAAAGATTTTCCTATTTTGGACAAATTTTATAAATGGAGTCATACAATATGTGGTTTTTATGTCCAATTTCTAGCATATGTTTTCAAGGTTCATCCATGTTGTAGCATGCATCAGTGAGAAAATAAGCATTTGTACTGAGGTATCCTTCTCTCCCTTCTGCTTTTTTTCAGTGGCCATGCAGCAACCCACTGCCACCTGGCACACTGTAGGCGTGGATGACTTTGCCAGTTTCCAGCGCAAGTGGTTTGAGGTTGCCTTTGTGGCAGAAGAGCTCTTGCACTCTGAGATTCCTGCCTTTCTCCTACCCTGGCTGCCCAGCCGGCCAGCCTCCTATGCTAGCAGGCATAGCTCCTTTAGCCGCAGTTTTGGAGGACGGAGCCAGGCAGCTGCACTTTTAGGTAAATGCTTGATCTAGCTGGATGTGGGGATGTATTGGCAGGTGCCTGGGAAAGGGTAGCAGCCAACCAGGGAATGATGCCACGTGAACCAGAATTAGACCTTTTGTTACTCCAATACTTTCCACTGTGTCTGTTGACACTGTGCTGTTTTCCACTGGCTGAGCGGATCCGGTTTGATTTTTTCCCAAGCAATAGATAGTATTTAGCACCTCTCAAATTAGAGCATGGTGCCAAATGTGCATTTATAGGAGGGAATAGAAAATGTGGCCACTTTTGGTGAGAGCCCTCAGGATATAGGGAATATAAGCTAGTGCTCTCCGCAGGTTTAGTTCCTGTCTGAGGCCTTGAAGACTAGCATCCTAGGATCTCAGAATAGGAAGAAACCTGAAAGGTTATCCATTCAAGACATTTCAGCGGATCATGAATCTTCCCTCATTCCTTCTTCCCCAAATATACTTACCGCACTCAAAGATATAAATTGGAACTCTTATTCCCTTTCCATAATTCCTACAGGTCTTAAGATAGCAGTAAATACATGTTTATCAAAAGATGGTGACCTCTGATAGGAAATGGAGACCTCTGCTCTGGAGGAGAGGCCCTGTGGATTGTTTAGAGAATACATGCCCTGGGTGAAGCACCACAGAATTTATCTCTGGGTCAGATTGCAGAGATCCTGAAAACCTTTGGAAGAAAGGAAGAGCCATAATAGACCAAACTCCAGTGAAATGTTACATTCTTCTTTGCCTGTAAAAGCTCAGCTAATTAGAATTCTGATCTGGCTGGTAGGATGGAAAGGTTAATAGCCATTACAGATCCTCAGATTTGCTTAGATCTGGGTGGATGAGCCACCCTTGCTCCAATCTAAGGACAATATCTCCATAAACCCCTGCTTATAGTACTTGGACTGATTTTAACAGGCATTGCCTCTCTCTGAACTCTTCCTCTCTAGTAAAGCATCTTCATCAAGCATCTCTGCCAGTCTCCAACAGTCTCTGTCCTGTTGCAAAAGCCAATCAAAACAAAACAAAACAAAAAAATAGGAAGCTTGTATCAGATTTTCCTTTGTCCTCTCCTTTGGAACAACCCTTCTCAAGCTTACCAAGGAGCTCCACATTGCTTAATAAAGTGGCCTAGTCCTTTTGCCGCCAGTAGCATTTGTTTGATAATCTCTGACTCCTTTAAATGGTTTTCTTTATTGGTTCCTAAGGTAATTGGTACAATATGGCAGAATGTCTCCTGACATTGCTACAGTGTGCCTCTCAGCTCTCCTATTTTTGTTAGTCTCCTTTGCTGATATCTCTTCAGCAATCTGATATTTCAACATTGCAGCAGGTAGGCCTCGTTCTATAGGCTGGTAGAGCCTTCTCTGGGTCCTATCTTTATGTCTTGAAGCATCTCGTGAAGGTCAGTCAGTGTCTTTCATTATCCCAAGGTCTAATCACTGCTAAATTTTCATCTCTATCCCACACCATGCTTTCCAGTTTAAGACTCATCCATTCATCTCCTTGACTGTCAATTAGATGGCTAAAGTACATTGTTTAGAGCTCTACCTTCCCACTCCCTTGCCACCATCATCTCCTTCTCCTTTAGTCTTTCCTTGTCATTTTGGTTACTTAGGCCAGGCAGGAATCTCAGTCACTGTCCTGTTCTTTCTTTCCCACTCTACATCTAGTCCATCAGCAAGTTCTGTCTTCCTTTTATCTACCTTCAGTATTCTAAGCCACTGTCATCTCCTGCGTGTGATACTGCAATCACCTCTTGACCTTTTTTCCCCTCATTATCTGTTTTCCACACAGAATACAGAGAGACCACTTCAGATGTAAGTAGGATCATGTGTTTTTTCTAGGCAGCATTCTCTCGTGACTTTCATCTCACTGGAATTAAAAGCCAGTCTTTAGCCTCTCAGGTTCTCCCTGATGTGAGCTTCTTACTCTGCCCTATCTTCTGTGGTGGTCCTATGCACTTTGCTGACCCACATTGGCTTCTGTGCACGTAGCTCAACATGCCAAGCATATTTCTGCTTCTGGCTTTTTCCTTCTACCTGAGGCACCATTGCTCGGATAGCCTCAGGAATTCTTCCCTTCAAGTTTCTCCTTCAAGGTCACATGTGATTGAGGTCTTCCCTGATCCCCCTACAGTCTCTGGGCCCCTGACACCCAACCTTTGTCTGCTTTGCTCTTATCACCTCTGGACAGTGTGTGTGTGTGTGTACAGCTTGTGAGTCCTTTCAAGGATTTAAGTCCTTCCGAGGACTTAAGGTGTGTGATGAACTTCTTTTTGTTAACTGACTGTCCTCACTCCTACTTAATACATAGTTGGTTTCTGTTAATACTTGTTGAATATATGAAAAAATATTAATGTAGTTTGGCAGAATTTGGGGAAATTGAATTTTGAATATTAGATCTGGAATCGTCAAACCTGAGCAATTAGTTGCTGAATTGTCAGAAAAATAGTAGTTGTTCTGCTGTTCATTCTGATGCTACCAGCCTGGCAACAGACAAGCTGCCCATCCCCTTTCTTGTATGCATGGTCCTTCCCCTGTGAAAAGACAAGGAGATGTGTGCATGGTCCCAAACCTCTTGCTGCACTTACTACTTGTGCAGTTACTACTTCTGGAAAATGCTACCAGTGTTGTCATCTTGACATACTTAGTTTCTGGAAGCTCTGTTGACAATGTGTATTCAAATATCCTCCTTTCTGAAGTCTTCTTCTATAGGCTGGTAAAATCCTCTCCTGACTTCCATAGTCTTTTGCTCAAGATGGGATTCAGATTATCTCAGTTTAGCTTTGGTTCTTAGTGCTTAAAAAGAGCAGTCTATAGAAAAATAAAGTCATGTGCTCCCAAAAAAAGGAGAGTAGAGAGGAAGATAGGGTTTATGTCCAGGGCAGGAAGTTGATTGGACTGGTGTTTGCTATCTGGGGTCTGTGTATGGGCTTTAGTGAATCTGAAACTAGGCAGAATTTTGCATGTATGCTTTCTGGGGAAACATCCTTTTATTAGCAAAAGTAGCTCCCATGGTTGTTATAGTGGAATTTTATTCTTTCAGTCTCTTTGCCTATCACTTCTCTACTTCTTTTCCTTTTAAATCTGATAGCTAGTTCTATCTAGTGACAGCTCTCAGACCTTTCTGTTAAGATACAAGATGTTTCACTGCAGCATTTTTCCAGGTTAGAATATAGACTTTTACTGTGTCATTTCTTTATTTATTTTCTTGGATACTGGGGATTGAACTCAAGGGTACTCCACTACTGAGCCACATCCCCAACCCTGTTTTTATATTTTATTTAGAGACAGGGACTCACTGAATTGCTTAGCACCTTGCTTTTGCTGAGGCTGGCTTTGAATTTACAATCCTCCAGCCTCTGAGCTGCTGGGATTAGAGGCGTGTGCCACCATGCCTGGCTTGTGTCATTTATTTAAGTAACAAAGATCTATTGTGTTTATTAAATTATTGTGGTGCTGGGAAGGGAACCCAGTGCTTCACATATGCTAGGTAAGTGCTTTCCCACTGAGCTACATCTCTACCCTAAACTATTGTCTTTAAATTGGGTCATCATCAATGTTTGGATTTTTCTTCAGAAAAAAAATATTATCACTCATAATGGAAGAAAGGCCTATATATTATATGTGACCTGTTCCTTTTCCATTTGCTTTTTGTGTGTTTCTTTTGACATGTTCCTTTTTAAATACTTTTGATTCTCAATTGGCCCTTAGTAGTTGGAAATTATTTTGAAATCCTTGACATTGGCAAATGGTCCTATCTGGATTCACTCATGGTAGGTTTCACTTCCCTGTGTTGCTGAGTTGGGAAGCTACAGGGGCATCTGAGAATCTGGAAGAAGCAATGCCACATGCCTGAGCCTCTTCACAAGTCTTCTACTTGTCAGCTTTTTCTTTTTTGGGGGTACTAGGGATTGGACTCAGGGGCACTTGACTACTGAGCCACATCCCCAGCCCCATTTTGTATTTTATTTAGAGACAGGGTCTCACTGAGTTGCTTAGCACCTTGCTTTTTCTGAGGCTGGCTTTGAATTCTGAATCCTCCTGCCTCAGCCTCCCAAACCACTGGGATTATAGGCGTGTGCCACTGCGCCTGGCAGTTTTCCTTCCTTCCTTCCTTCCTTCCTTCCTTCCTTCCATCCATCCATCCATTAAACACAAAGGGGTGTTTTACCACTGAGTTATATCCTCAGTCCTTTTTAAATTTTTTCTTTTTTTTAAATTTGAGACAGATTCTTGTTGAGTTGCTGAGGCCCTCACAAAGTTGCTAATGCTGGTCTTGCCTCTTACCTCAGCCTCCCAAGTTGCTGGGATTAGAGGCATGTGCCACTGTGCCCAGCTCTCTCAATCTTTTCTTGATGGCCTGCTGGATCTCAGGGTCAGGAGGGCTTATAGACTACCTGTGTCCAAACCCTATCACTTGCACCTTTTCCATAGCATTCCTGGTTGGTGGGAGCCAACTCCTTTTTGAAAATCCTTTTGATGTGGCACTCACTACTAATAACCCTCACTTCATTCTGTGGTAGCTCTAGTTGTTATGCTGAATTTCAGTTCCCTTTGTGGGATTGTGTTCATTTTACTCTAGTGACACTGATCCCTTCCCTGTGTCATTAATGGCACCCTTGCTGTGACCTGGGTGAAGGATGCTAAGTCTGATCTTCCCCTGGGTTTGCATATATTTATTGGATTCCATATATCTCTATGTCCCCAAAAGGTGAATAAGTTGGTTCCCATGGAACACAAGGAATGACTTTACTGAAAGTGGTATTTTGGCTTGGCTTTTACCTTTGTCAACACTTTAACCCTGCTGGAAGCATCTATAGGTCAACCCTGAAGTATAAAACCAATGAAACATTTTTTTCCCCATCTTGAGATTTGTTAAAATATATTCATACATGCACACAATAAAACAGTATAATTTGATCAGTTTCATTCCCCAGAACCTCCATTTTCCTTCCCCTTGATCCCCTTCTATTCTACTGGCCTCCCTTCTTCTTCT